GGTGATCCGCGTGGGACCCACCTCCGCTGGGCCTCCCAGGAGCCCACGAAAGTGGCGACAATTGCACAGATCGCAAACCCTCCAGGGCACCGCGAGGTCCCGAGGTGATCCGCGTGGAACGTACCTCCAGGAGCCCACAAAAAAGGCGACAGTTGCACAGATCGCAGCCCCCAGGGCACCGCGAGGTCCCGAGGTGATCCGCGTGGGACGTACCTCCGCTGGGCCTCCCAGGAGCCCACGAAAGTGGCGACAATTGCGCAGATCGCAAGCCCCCCAGGGCACCGCGAGGTCCCGAGGTGATCCGCGTGGGACGTACCTCCGCTGGGCCTCCCAGGAGCCCACGAAATTGGTGACAATTGTGCAGATCGCAGCCCCCAGGGCACCGCGAGGTCCCGAGGTGATCCGCGTGGGACGTACCTCCGCTGGGCCTCCCAGGAGCCCACGAAAGTGGCGAGGCGAGAGTTGCGCAGATCGCAAGCCCCCCAGGGCACCGCGAGGTCCCGAGGTGATCCGCGAGGGACGTACCTCCGCTGGGCCTCCCAGGAGCCCACGAACGTGGCGACAGTTGCGCAGATCGCAGCCCGACGCAGGAGAGGAGGAGGGGAGGAGGGGGGAGGAGAAGAAGGAGGCCGGGGCGACCACACTGCTCTATTCAAAACGAGTACCCAACCATAGGAGGTTCGGGAACAAAAACACGGACTCGAACAAACGGTCGGCTCACGCTCACGTTCTTTCATCCTTTAAGCGTGCGCGTTGTGATGGGAAGGGTAGTTCGGCGGCGAGCGAGGGGGGGGAGTGAGAAGGAGAAGGCCGTCTCAGAAGGCCGCGGGACTTCTCAGAAGTCCTCGCGCCTTCTGAGAGGCTTTCTGTGACTTCAGGGAAGGCCTAAAGCACTTCTCTGAAGGCCGGTGGACTTCCGGGCCTTCTGAGAAGGCCGGCCTCTTCTTACTTCCACCCTCGCTCGCCGCCGATTCAAGCGTGCGCGTTGTGATGGGAAGGGTCGTGAATTATATCATCATCGATCCTGATCCTGCCAGCCTCCGTTGCAGGGCTTACCACCTCGAACGCGCCAATTTGGAAGCATACACATTCACGGCCAGGCGCATTTTTCCGATTTCCTTTCTAGTGGAGAAGTTCCTGCAGGAGGGCCCTCGCGCGAAGACGCCGCGCAGTAGCCCTTCCAGTTCGAAAGAAGAGGACATCATGAAGCTGCAACGCCAGATACCTCACGCTTGTGACTCAGCTTGTTCTCAAACTTGTTCCTGACGTCAAGAAAATTGCGTGCCGCAGTCATCAGCATCGTGGTCTGCAACCAGGACCTCGCCCCAATTGCAGCAGGGTGGACCGAGATGAACACTTGTGAGGGGAATATCAAAGAACTCAGGGACCGCTCAGAGGACACGTCGAACGCCAGCCCCAAGTAGATCTTATTGTGGTGCCAGATCGTCAACGCCATCGCGAGTGACGAAAACCACCTCCGGAGGCCTCATCCGCAGTTCGTGCGCATCACGCTGCAGTCAACACCCTGGGCGCGTTGATTGGCCAAATCTTCCTGTGCAAATTCCGTCAGGTTTTCGACAAACACTCCGTGAAGTTGTCGGTTCTAACCTCAGTCAGTCTGTAGTTTTGAGCCTCACACCCCTCTCTCGGTGGTGGATAGGACTGGTGCTAAAACCGCTTCCTCCTCCTCCTCCTCCTCACCCCGCTCCCCCTCCTCCTCCTCCTCCTCCTCCTCCTCCTCCTCCTCCTCCTCCTCCTCCTCCTCCTCCTCCTGCTCCTCCATCTGATTCTCGTCCTCCTCCCGCTCCTCCTCCTCCTCCTCCTCCTGCTCCTCCTTCTCTCCGTCGTCCTCCTCGCGCTCCTCCTCGTGCCATTCCTGGGGGGAGGAAGAGGAGGAGGAGGAGGAGGAGGAGGAGGAGGAGGAGGAGGAGGAGGAGGAGGAGGAGGAGGAGGAGGAGGAGGAGGAGGAGGAGGAGGAGGAGGAGGAGGAGGAGGAGGAGGAGGAGGAGGGAGGAGAGAGGAGAGAGGAGAGAGGAGAGAGGAGAGAGGAGGGAGGAGGAGGAGGAGGAGGGAGGAGGCAGGGAGGAAGAGGAGGAGAAGGAGGAGAAGGAGGAGGAGGACAAAAGGTTCTCAGATCATGCTCTGGTGGGCCCACAGGCGAGCCGTGGCGCTTCGCCACTGCACGAGCCGCGCCACAGCCACGTGCCCGGCCGCCAAGGGCGGAAAGGAGAAGCATGAGGCAGGAGGCCAGTGGGCCCTCGGCCCGCGAGTTGCAGACTCAGATCGATAAGCTCAACGAGCTTACATAGAAGAAGAGCACAAGCACATAAACATACGTAACCTTTTGGCGCTCCGCACGGATTTCTTGGATCCGCGCTGTGCTCTCCTCCCTGGCGCACGGAGCGCGCCGGGGGCGGTGCCGGAGGCGCCGCCAGGGGGCTCCCAGCGCGGATACGAGAAATCCGCGTGGAACGCTCAAAATTTACGTTTCTGTGTTCTTTTTTCTCCGATTGCAATCAGAACGTGTACACTGGAGGCCAATCCACAAAGAAACCAAACCCTGAGACCCCAGGACGTCCACTGATTTTTGGTGTGGGACGGTCACGTTTTCCATAGCAAAGCCGTCGAAAACAAGAAACCCAGGGCACCCTGGAGGCAAGTAGGGTGTTTATTGCTTGGGCCTCCACTGTGCTACGGACGCGTCTTCGCAGAAACCCTCGCGCCTCCTTAGAGGTTTTCTGTGTATGCGGGGAAGGCCTAGAAAACTTCTCAGAGGGCCGGGAAACTTCCGAGCCTTCTGAGAAGGCCCACCCCTTCTCACTTCCCCCTCGGGCTCGCCGCCGACTAATTACGCGGTGCAGTCAAAAACGTGAGTTAAGGACGGGCGGTAAAGGCGCAAGACCCTTGGAGGCCGAAGTGGGGATCTTTAGGGCGGCGGGCGGCCCGTGAAACGGCAAAGGACGGGCCACAGAGGCAAGGACACAAGGGTACCCTAGAGGAAGGCGCGCGTCCTTACTAGGCAAGTTGACTGTAACCATATCTCGTCGCATTCCTGATTGCGCGGTAGAAGGATGCAAGGCACCCCCTTCTCAGAAAAGGGGCTCTCGCCTGAATGGCAAGCCCATGGGGTGCCGGTCTTTCCAGGGGGGCGCTTGTTGCAGTGCAGCGGAAGGCTTGGGATGGGAGGGTGTCGTGGAGCATCGCTGATGCCTCCTGGGTTTGCCCTGGTCCTCCTCCTCCTCCTCCTCCTCCTCCTCCTCCTCCTCCTCTTTCTTCTTTCTCCTACTTCCTTCTCGCCTCCTCCTCCTGCTCCTCTTCCCTCTTGGTCTTCCTGTCTTCTCCTCCTCCTCCTCCTCCTGCTCCTCCTCCTCAACCTCCTCCTCCCTCCTGTTGATCCCTCCTCGTGCTGCCAACTCCTCCTTCTCCCTCCTCCTCCTCCTCCTCCTCATCTGCGGTATGCGGAACTACTCTGGAAGAGAACATGACAGCCTCGCTGACGACAGGCCTGGCAGACGCTATCAATGCTGACGACGCTGCTGACGACTTGTCTTCTCAATCTTGTCTACAGCCGCGACGACACGTCACGATTTCAGGAAATCAGAAACATGCGATGGACCGCACCTCTCCTCCTCCTCCTCCTCCTCCTCCTCCTCCTCCTCCTCCTCCTCCTCCTCCCCCCTTCTGCTCTCCCTGCATGCTTCTTCCTCCTTGCCCGCTCCTCCTCTTCCCTCCTCTCCACGTCTTCTCCTTTTTCCTCTTTGTACCATCTCCTCCTCCTCCTCCTGCTGCTCCTCCTCCCTCCTGCTGCTTCCTCTTCTTACTGCCTCCACCTCCAGCTCGTCGTCGTCGTCCTCCTCCTCCTCCTCCTCCCCTTCTCCTACTCCTCATTCTCCCTCCTTCACCTCCTGCATGCTCCTTGTTCTTCTTCTTATTCCTCCTCCCCCCTCTTTCCTCCCTCTTTCCTCCTCCTCCCCCCTGCCTCCTCCCTCCTCCTCTTCCCTCCTCTCTCCCTCTCCCCCTCCTCCTCCATCTCCTCCTCCTCCTCCTCCTCCTTCTCGTCGTCCATTCCTTTCCTTATAGATACAATCGGACCTAGGCTAGAAAACATCCCTCAAGAAGGTGAGGCCCTCCGCTGGCCAAAACACACAGAACATCAAAGGGTACCCTCCCCAAGGTGCACAAGAACATCCAACAAACACGAATAACATCAGGGTGCCCTCCCGGAACCGACCTCGCTGTAACTCCTCCCTGTCGCACCCCAAGGCCAGTCAAAATGGCCGGCTGGGCGTTTCGCTTGAGGCCTTCTCACCATTTATGATCCTGAAGCCCGTTTTCAAAATGTGGCTCTCGCCTTAGTGGCGCGCGCATTCGTTTTAAGCGTGACCTGAGTTTCACGGATGAATGGCGGCTCCTTGTGAAAATGTGGCCGTCGCGTTAGTGCCGCGCATGTTCGCCTTAAGAGTTCCCAGTAATTTCAAGGATTCTCATGGTTCACGTGCCAGAACTTGTGTTTTGGCACGATGTCAGAATGTCAGGGCGCAAAAGTCATGTTGATTCGCGGTGTTAAGGTCCCAGGAATGGCTTTCTGGCACGATTCAGGCTCGTCGAGGCGCAACAGTAACTGTGATTCGCGGCGTTGAAATCTCAGGAATGGTGTTCGGGCACAATTGAGGACTTTCAACTGGCTGTCTTCCAACGGGGCATTTCCCTCAGTGAAAATGAACCCGTGAAGAGAGGAACCTGGAGGGAGGGTTGATTGCAAATCGTTGATGGGTCTTGGGTTTACATTGGTCCTCCTCCTCCTTCTCTTCCTCACCTCCTCGTTTTGATTTGAGAGTAGGGCCTTCAAGCGCATCGCGGTGCCAACGCAGGGAGAAGGCAGGCAATGCAAGGAGACAGTCATACTGGATGGGGAAGACGCGACGAGGAGCAGAGGGGGCGATCGTTGGGGATGTGGGACCTCAGAGTGTACTGACAACGTCGAGGCGTGGGGAGTGCTGGAGAGGGATGCGGGAATCTCAGAGACGCGCACGCGCGCGATGTGGATAAGCAGAATAATGAAGGCGGTCATTTCGGACGGTATGCTCGCTGTACCCAACGCGCTGTACTAGATCATCGTTGGCCGTTGGACTGCCGTGGCCCGGCCCCGCGGCCGCGCTACGCATCCCGCGCATTTCGCACGCATCGGCGAAAACCTGAACGGCCTGCTTGCCTTTGAGCAGGGACCAACCGTCCCGGCAGCCCAATTGGCCTACCACAACATGTTCTTAGAACAGAAGAACGCTCTACAAACCAAAACAGTGGTATCATAATGCCGACGCCACACATAGATCTTCTGAGAACATGTGGCGGATTCCGAAAAAAAAAACCCTGAACCCGAAAAAGTTGTCATCTATTGGCGGCGCATTTTTTGCTTCCGCCACCTTTCGCCGCCTTCTGCCGGCGGAGGCGGCCTCGTCTTACTTCCGCCGCCTTCTGCCGCCCTGCCGCCGCCCTCCGCCGAAGAGCTGGCAAAGCTCCTTCGATCCTCGAGTGCAGGGCCCCTTCTGCAGCGCCCCACTTCGCGCAAACCGCAAGAGGCTCTTAGAGCATTCCTCCGTGGGCCTGCAGGCAAGCCAGGACGCTTCGCCACTGCTCGACGCCTGGAGCGGAATGGCCGAGGCCCGAGGCGCCCGGCCCAGCTGTCTGGCACCTCCAGGAGCGATCGCCGCGCTCCAGGCCCGGCCCATCCAACCCGCCACGCGACAAGCGCCGGCCTCCCAGCTCACGGGGAGGCGGCTCCGCGATGCAACGCTTGGAAAAAGGAGGGAGCGAACGGAGGGGGAGGGGGGAGGCTCACGAGAGGGATTCTACCAGGGGTAGTGGACACAAGCTCCCCCACCCCTGGCTCCCTCGGCAGTGCTTCGTCGCCGCCTTGGGTTTGACCCATACCCCTTCGAGGTTGTTCCTGGCTCTTACGGTTGCTGGGAGCACTGGAGGAGAACGGTTTCTGTTTTTGTACAGGTAGGGCCGCTGGTCGACCTGGACTTTAAGCGTTTGAGCGTTTGAGTGCAAAGGGCAGGGCGAGGAACGACCTTTGGTCCAGCCCCGTCTACTCTCCCGACACGTCAGAGGACAGCCTGATTGCCCAGGTGCCAAGTGCTGGTGGCTTGGAACATGTCGGGGTGAAAACGGGCGCTCTCTAAGCAGCTGCCGCTCTTTCCCAAATCTCGTCCTCCTGCTTGATCCCTCTTTCCCCCGCCTCCCCTCTTTAATCAGGCAGCGCCCTCGCCTGCCTGCTCTCTCGTGGAAGCCTCCCATGGGTCCGAGAAGATCGCGCCTTATCGCCGATGTATCGGCGATGCATCCGCGACGTCGGCGATGCATTGGCGACGTCGGCGTGAATGAAAACCGGGCTCCGCATCGGGTCGCATCGCCGATGCACCGGCGATGATGCGCGATCCTCCGACCTTACCGCATCGGACCCCTTCGGGGGGCCTTGCTCTCTCGTCAAAGGGTGCCTCCCGTTTGGCCTTTCCTCGTGGTTCCTGGCTCCTGATGGATTGAGATCCCATCGGGTGCAGCCTCCCCCCCTCCTTCTCCTCCTCCTGCTCCTCCTCCTTCTCGTCCTCCTCTTGAGCGTGCGGCTGCCAGCTCCGCCCTCCCGTCCCCGCGCAGGCGCTCGCGCAGAGCCAGCGACTCTCCCCGACCTGCCAGACTTGCAACTCTGTCCGGTGCCCCTGCAGGCCGCACTGTGGCAGACCGCGGCACGGCTGCCTGGAGTTCGGGGCAGCCGGCCCAAACAGCTGATAAATTTGGGACAGGGATAAATTTGGGTGAGGCTAGATCGAGAATTTCTGAGATCCGGCGGATCTGGAGGATGTATTGGGCGCCGCAGCCTTTTCAGAGCGTTCTGAGAGCGTTCCGGAACGCTCTGGAACGGACTTATCCTCGTCTTAGCCCCGTCTAATGGGCAGCTGCCCCACAAAGCTGAGGCCCAGGGGCACGAGCTGGCCAGCCGCATCTGCCGAAACGCCTGGCCAGAAGGGGTGGACACGCAGCAGCATGGCCCTGGCATCGCCTGAAGGTCAGCAAGCGCACTGCTGGATGGCTCGCACTGTCTTCCAGAACTCCGCGCCCAACCTCAAACATTGACCATCTTCCGCTCCACGTATCGGTAACCCGTGAAGAGCAGGCCCGTGTAGCTGATGCGAACTGCGAGATCTCTGGCCAGAAGTCTCAAGCCCTGCTCCATGTAGTTGTTGACGAGAAAGCTTACGGACTCCCGGGCGCGTTGGGTATAGGACATGCTGTCAAGGGCTGGGGTGCAAGCAGACCACGAGAATATGTGATTGAAGGGCATGGACAGAGTCGCTGAAATGATAGAGGAAAGCAGGTCAGAAGCCACAACTATCCCCTCCTCGCCAAGCTGCCCTGTGCCAGGAATCTGCTTCACAACCTCAAGACTGTGCGGGGAGAATATCCGGATCCCCATCATTGCAAAGAAATTCCGCCCTACGTGACACGAGAAGCCAGCACCCGCTAATCGGTTGGCTGGGTGCAGCTGAAGCTTATCGGCTTCTAACGACCTAGTGGCGTTGTATTGGATCTGGGCGTTACGGCTTTGAGGCGCAAAAGTGAAGAGAGACTCGACGATGGAAGCGCAGAACATAGACATGCCAGAACTGCCAGTAGTTTTCTCTGCGAACAAATAAACAGGCCCGATTGCTGTGAATTGAGGCATCGCAGCCAACACAGGCCTAGAGCCTCCACGGAAACCTGAAGAGAAGCCATCCTTGAAGACTTGGCTATAGAGTCCGAAGTAGCTCAGGCTCGTCTCCTTCGCAGCCAACGTCATGGCGTTGCGCTGGGGCGTCAACAAACCGACCACGATCGGGCCGCCCACCTGGAAAGACGGTCGGAAATACAAGCTCAAACATCCACCAAGCTCCTACCATAGTATTGCAGAGGCTGGTTCTGCAGATGATGTTACAAGCCGCGCGACGACAAACTTCTGAATCTGTCGCTCTTTCACCGCCACCTATTTGCCCGGTCCCGCCTCTGGCCAACAAGTACGATTGACTATGCTGCATCCCCATAGCCCCACGAAAGGTCGATACGCCAACCCGAAAGAAAAGACTTCACCAACTAGCCCACGCGGTGCTATCACACCAAACTTCAAATGACCGTTCAACAACAGAAAAACGTCAACGTCCTCGGTTAATACGGCACGGGGTAATGGTTACACTATCATGAAAGCATGCAGGTTCACGCAAGACAGCTCGCATTGGCCACTAGACAGAAGCTCCAGATTACGAGGAAACGTATGGCGAGCAGACCGTACTGCGTGAGGGACACGTGCTCCAACCTACTACGTCCTACATGTGCGCTCACCTTGCATTTGGATACCTACGCATGGCCATGTTGACACTGCACAGCACGCATACACATTTTACACCCATCGAAGTCATGCCAGCACATTGGATGTATATTACTACTGCTACTCTTCATGGGGCAATCTTGCTTGCTGCGCGCTGTGTGCAAACCAGATCGGCCTGGGAGCCGATGCTCTGTTTCTTCGAAACCGTTTAGACAACATTCCTGGCGCGAGAAAACATACCCTTAACCTTTCATCGAACAGACAATCGTCATATTCAACAAGTCGTCATTCGTATGTGGCGTGGGGAGTCGCTGCAGAGCTTTACTGCCTTCCTGTCCACTCGATTTGTGTAACTCATGCCGACGGCCATCATGAATTTCTCAGCCGTGACGGGGGGCGGGAAAGCGTATCACCGTCTGGAGAGGCTCTGAGTTGGCATAATGCTGGACTTGTATAATCAACAATTTGCGTGATGCCTGTCGGCGCACAATCGAAACCCGCCCCAAACCCGCACATGCGTCGCAATTCTGCGAATACAATCAAAACCAACCATCGGGACGGAACATACGGATGCAAGGCGCCCAGAACGCGCCAAGATGCCAAGGTACCATTGAACCAAGGATGCCCAGAACCGAGGGATGTCGTGAAGCAGAGTGCAAAGGGTGCTCCACTTCGAAGCATGAAAGGGTGCCCTGCTTCGAAAACTTATCCTGAAAACTCATTCCTGACTCCAATGTTTGACTGTTCCTCTTGTCTCTTCCCGCTTCGTTCGCCACCGCTCCGGACAGCGCGGCGCCCAGCTGCCCCCGGGGCGGCAAGAACTCCTCCATGGACGCCTCCCACGGCATGACGCCCACGCCATCCGCAGCCTTCATGGTGTGGGCCGGCTCTTCGGAAGCCATCGGTTGCCACCCAATCGCAGAGCAGCACCCCCGCGAGCCCCCAGGGCGGCTAGCTGCTAGGTGCCACTCATGACAGAGCGCGTACAACGAGCCGAAATGGCCACCGACGTCGATGGAGGCGATGGGCACCGCGGTGGTGGCTTGAAGGACACATGCCATCATCACCAACACGTCCAATTGGCCAGCGAAGGCAAGGGCAGTATGTCTGTAAAACTAAGCTACTGGTTCTCGTGTTAGCCAGCGTGAGCCCCAAACAGTGTCTCGAGCACTACACGTCGTTAATTTCTAATCGTGCTCATTTCTAATTGTGTTCGTTTCTAATTGTTCCTGGCCCCCTAGTGGCCAGGAAGAGGCCCAGGACAAAACACTTAGAAAAGAAAGGATCTTGCCCCCCCGACAATACAAGAACTTCCGAGTACTTAGACATGAACAGTGCATTTTTTGCGCAAGATATGTGGAGCAGCTCGTGTTGTGCAATCTGTGTGGTGCACTATATGGGGTGCGCGATCTGTTGGCAAATCGGCTGGGACCACCCAGATCGGGTTGCTGTCGGCCTGCTCGGTGACAAAGTAATGCCCCCAATCAAGAATGAGGATCGGAGCACGAGGAGGAGAGAAGAGATGGAGGAGTCCTTCGGAGGAGGAAAAGCAGTAGGAGCAGGAGGACGAGCAGAAGGACTCGTATTCGGAGGTAGAAGAGGAGGATGAAGAGGAAGAGAAGGAGGACCAGTGCAAACCCAAGACTCATCAACGAAATTGCAGTCCAACCTCCCTCCAAGTTCCGTTTGCATGCCGCTGCAAAGATTCATCTGTACTGAGGGGAATGCCCCGTTGGAAGACAACCATTTGAAAATTCAGAACTGTGCCAGAACACCATCCCTGGGATTTCAAAGCCGCGAATCACCGTTACGGTTGCGTCTTGACGATCATGAGTGGTGCCATACCACCACTCCTGGGACTTCAACACCGCGATTCCACATGACTGTTGCGTCTTGGCGCTCCGACATCGCGCCAAAACATCATGTCTCGGACGTAGCTATGAACATCCTTGAAACTGTTGCAAACTCTCAAGACGAATGTGCGCGGCGCTGGGGCGAGAACCACAATGTGAAAAGGAATCGCCCTCTATCCGTGAACTTCTTGCCCATTTTGAAAACGAACACGCGCGCCGCTGAGGCGAGCGCCAAATTTTGAAAGCGGACCGCACGCGAGAATCACAATTCAATAACGGACCGCCATCCATCCGTGAAGCTCTTGCTGTTCTTTGGAACGAATGTCCTCGGCGCTGAAGCGAGAACAACATCGTGACACCCTCCATCCGTGAAGCGTTCTGCAATTTTGTGAATCGACTGTGCGAAGCGCCAAAGCGAGAACCACATTTTGCAAGCGTGCCGCCTGCCATCCGTACAACTCTTGCAACTGTTCAACACGGGTGTGCGCAGCGCTCAGGCGAGAGCCACATTTTCAAAGCGGACCGCCCTCCATGCGTGAAGCTGCTGCAAACCTCAAGCTTCAGAAGCATGGCTGGTGAGGAAGTCTCAGGCGAGACGCCTGGCTGGCCCTTTCGAACGGCCTCGGGGCGCGACAAGGATGAGCCATTTATAAGGAAGAGGGATGGGAGGAGAGGCTTTTTTTTGTGACGTACACGACGCCGCCTCCAGACCCTGATGTTCAGGGCAGCCAGCCCGCGGCGGAGGGGGATGCAGGCTGCGACGAGTGGCTAAGTCAGACGGCCAACCCTGCCTCTGCACGCCCCTGCTGGCCTACGCCAGCAAGACAGCACACAGAAAACAAAACCGCAACAAAAGAATACTCAGTCGGAGTCGCCCGACTCCATGGCGCTGCGAAGGGAGGGGCTCTATCCTTCGCAGCCCGACCAACGGCGCCGACCTGCCTCCGCACTGTCGCTGGCTGAGGCTGCTCAGCAAAGGGCATCGCAGCCCCAAACGCAGGGTGAGCGAACTCCGTGCTGGACGGCGTCGCAAAATGAGACGCCTGAGCTCCAGCCAACGAGCTGCCGACAGAAACGGGCGCCGCCCGTCCAAAAACCTCTTTCGAAATGCCTGGCTCGTCGACGCCGTCTGCGAACAAGAGCCGGGCGGCTTCCTCGTCCGCGTCGAAGTCGCCCCCCTGCCCCCCCGCCGCCGTCGATTTGCAGCGGCCTGACTGTCGCCCTGGACACGCAAATTGAAACGCTGAATCAGGCGTCCGTGTCGACCCTGACACCAGCCTTCCGCTGATGGCACTGCGGGTGGAGGCCCTTGCGCGCATAGTTCCAACCATGCTTGTTCGCACGAGAGGGAACGCTCATAAAGTTCACCGCTAGTCCTCTGATCAGGGCTCCATTTGTGTGGCCCTTACATTTCCCACACATGAAAAGCATCGACCGATCCGAACAGGGGAAGACCACTGCGCTGTGATTGAGGGCGTCCTGCCTAGCAACATGCACAAGCGAAGCGCGTGTGCAAGGGCCGGGGGGTTGACAATCGAACGACAACCCCTCAAACCGTGAGCGCGCCTCCAGATTCCCCCCCGAGGCTCCCAGGCGCGCCCTAGAGGAGGAGGCCACTCCTCCACTGGCGCTGGGATGCGCCCAGCGCCAGACGTGTCCAGGCTGGGCCAGTGACCGAGCGCATTGGCAGCAACCATCAAGGTCGCCTTCGCCAGTTTAACCAGATGATCGGCGGCCTGCATCAGGGCCTCATCGCGAGGATGAAGAGAAACGGCGTGCTTCGCACCAACATCTGCACGGTGGTTGCCTAGACGGCGCCCGCGCTCCTCGGGGGGGATGCCCGGGGCGGCGAGGTCGAGGTGATCAGCCATCTCCGAGCACCCCGAGACCGCCGAAAGCTGACCATGACACTGAAGAGAGACCTTCGAACACATGCGTTCTGGGGGAAGTTAAACAAGCTTCTCCTTAGATGCCAAGTGAACGACATTCGCACAGTCGGAAAACGCATGGTACTGGGAGGGATGAGTTGCTAGCGCACTCGCCCACGTGAACGCACTAAGATCAGCGCTCTGGGGGGTCTGGGCGCCGGGCCCCCACGCAGGGGCCCGCCGCTCCGCCGCCGGATCCCCTCGAGCATCAACCTTGCAAGCATAACTACCAGCCTTAGAGAGCTCGCGCGCCGAATGTCGCGTGCACGACCCGCCCGCAAAAAGTCGCCCCAAACATGATCAGGAACGGGGCCGCCGTCGGGCCCAAAGTCGGGCTTCCTATGTCAACTAAGGAACGGACCATCACCGTGCTCAGTAAGGGCCCTGGGGAAGGAGTCGGCGGGATGCCGAGAGGCTCCAGACATGGCGGCGAAAGAGCCCGCGTCGTCCCCCGACGCCTTAGCAGACAATGCAGCATCGATGACGTCCTGCTCCACAGCGCAGCTCCGATCTGGAACGACTGTCCCATGAGGGCACTCCCATAGAGGGTGGGAGATGGTGCCTCTCGGGCTCCGCAGTGGATGCAATCAGGCTCGGTCAAGTACACCAGAGCGTCAGCATTGGCAGCAGGCAGCCTGGCCTTCGTAGACAACGCCCTGATCCTGGCCTTCTGGGGGGCCGTGAACTTCTCACTCCCGAGAGACGCCGCATCCCAGACAACGTCGCGACGCGATCGAGGACCCAGCCCCCGCTTGTCCGCGGCGCCTCGCTCGAGCATCCTGCGGTAGCCCTCGCGGGCCAAGGGCCCCGCGAGAGCGGACGGAAGAAATGCAGAAGCATGAAGGGACCGCACCGAACCGAGAACCGGGAACCGTGACCGAACCGGACCGAACCGGTCCAAAACCAGGAACGTAGAAAACCGAACCGGACCGAACCGAATTCATTCAGAACCGAACCGGCGACGACCGAACCGAACCAGAACCGGAACCGAACCGGAACCGGGCGGCCCCTGAACCGAACCGACGGGAACCGAACCGAACCCCTTTCCCCTCTGGTCCGGACCCCAGGACCCCGATGACCCCCAGGACTCCGGGACCCCGATGACCCCAGAACCTCCCGAAGATTCCCGCGACCCCTCCTCCTCTTCCTCCTTTTCCTCCTCCTCCTCCTCCTCCTCCTCCTCCTCCTCCTCCTCCTCCTCCTCCTCCTCCTCCTCCGCTTCCTCCTCCTCCTCGACGGCGGGCGCGTCGGCGGGCGCGGGCGTCGGCAAGCGTCCGTCGTCGTCGTCGTCGTCGCCGTCGTCGTCGGGGGGCCGCGGGGGAGCCCCGGGGGGGGCCCTGGCGACCCTCCTGGCAGCCCCCCTGGCGACCCCCCTGGCGACCCGCGACGGCGACGGCGACGGCGGCGGCGACGGTGGCGGCGGCGGCGGCGGCGACAGCGACAGCGACTTCGACCCCCCTGGCGGGTGCAACCCCCCTGGCGGGTGCACCCCCCCTGGCGGGTGCAACCCCCCTGGCGGGCGCAACCCCCCTGGCGGGTGCCACCCCCCTGGCGGGTGCAACCCCCCTGGCGGGTGCAACCCCCCTGGCGGGTGCAACCCCCCTGGCGGGTGCAACCCCCCTTGGCGGGTGCAACCCCCCTTGGCGGGTGCAACCCCCCTTGGCGGGTGCAACCCCCCTGGCGGGTGCCACCCCCCTGGCGGGTGCCACCCCCCTGGGCGGGTGCTTGTGCAACCCCCCTGGTGCCACCCCCCTGGCACCCCCCTGGCGGGTGCAACCCCCCTGGCGGGTGCAACCCCCCTGGCGGGTGCAACCCCCCTGGCGGGTGCAACCCCCCTGGCGGGCGCAACCCCCCTGGCGGGTGCCACCCCCCTGGCGGGTGCAACCCCCCTGGCGGGTGCAACCCCCCTGGCGGGTGCAACCCCCCTGGCGGGTGCAACCCCCCTGGCGGGTGCAACCCCCCTGGCGGGTGCAACCCCCCTGGCGGGTGCAACCCCCCTGGCGGGTGCCACCCCCCTGGCGGGTGCCACCCCCCTGGCGGGTGCCACCCCCCTGGCGGGTGCCACCCCCCTGGCGGGTGACCCCCCTGGCGGGCGCAACCCCCCTGGCGGGTGGCGGGTGCAACCCCCCTGGCGGGCGCGACCCCCCTGGCGGGTGCAACCCCCCTGGCGGGCGCAACCCCCCTGGCGGGCGCAACCCCCCTGGCGGGTGCAACCCCCCTGGCGGGTGCAACCCCCCTCGCGGGCGCGACCCCCCTCGGGGCTGCGACCCCCCTCGGGGCTGCGACCCCCCTCGGGGCTGCGACCCCCGTCGGGGCACGTCGCTGGAGGGCCTCGCGCCTCCACGC